CTCCCTCCCTTCCCCTCCCCCCACCCCCCAAAAAAATCATGCTGTTCTCTGCTTAGACAAAGCTGAATCTCATTAGTTCTGGATTTGGTTGGACTGAATTTAGAGATGGAGATATTGCCAGAGAATTCATCTTCCAAAATGTAAGACTATTTAGAAGGCACAGATATTGAGCTGTCAGCATGAGGATTTCTAGAAACTGGGCATGAGAACTGTTTTTAGATGTTGTCCTGTTTAGTGATAAGAAAAGGAACAGAACGACCTTCCTAGGACTAAGGAGGCACAGAGGTGATTCCTAGTCTTAAATGGAGAGGTGGCCATCTTCCCTGCCTTTGCCATCCTCACCCCTATGAACTGGGATGTTGTCTAGATTAGTTTTTTTTTTTTTTTTGGAGAGATTTTTGCTATAGGGCGCGTGCGCTCGCCAGACAGACAGAGAGAGACATGGAGACAGAAAGCGAGAAATCACCCCCCAGGGGGGATGGTCACGCCGCAATCCCTTCTCCTCCATTCTCCTCTCGGGATCTTGGGCACGCACGCACACGCGCCCGGCGTGAGATTTAAGCCACCGGGTCCGAGACGCGAACCGCGGTCGACTATGTGGGAGTCCAGCGACATAGCCATTACGCTAACTGCTGGTTCCCTAGATTAGTTTTTGAAATAGTAATTACTTAGCGTGCTTACAACTTCAGCTATGATTTTTTAAATCTTATCTCTATATACTTCAAGGAACAGCATTGTTCATCATGTTGAATAGTCAATGGATGTTTATCAAGCTCCTGGTCAGTGCTGGCTACCATGCATTGCCCAGTAAGAAAACAAAAGCAGGAGTATATACCATTCCCATCTTGAAGTGGTTTATGGTGCTGTTGGAAGAAAATAAGTAAGCTAGTGATAAGTTGGATAAAAAGAGATAAGCTGTGGAAATTGAGAATAACAGTATAAGAAATTTCACAAGCTAGTAATGATTAATGCCTAAGCACCCAACGAAGATAATTGAATTGAGGAGAGGAAGAGTCCATTGTGCCTACAGGACAGTAGGAAGAGTGTCTGAATTATTTGTTCATCCATGCATTTCAGTTATCCATTCCTTCAACAAATATAAATCGATTATTTATTGTGTGCCAATAAGAAGTTTCTGCCTTCATGGACCTTACATTCATACTGTGAAAGGACAGATAAATAATCAGTTGATAGCTGATAGATCAACAAATTCATATGCAGTATGGGTGTCGATGAGTGTCATGAAGAAAAGCAAAGCAAGATGAGGGAATTGAGACTGGAGAGGGGACACCTTCCTAGGTGGGCTTAGGGAAAAGGTGTCTTTTTTTTTTTTTTTTTAAGAGAGATTTTTGCTATAGGGTGAGTGCGCTGGCCAGAGAGACAGAAAGTGATAAATCACCCCTCAGGGGGAATGGCCACGCCACAGCCCTTTTCCTCCATTCTCCTCTCGGGATTTTGGGCACGCACGCACACTCACCCAGCATGAGTTTGAAGTCTCTGGTTCCAGGACTCAAACCACAGTGGACTATGTGAGAGTCCAGTGATGTAACCATGATGCCATCTGCTGGTCCCAAGGAAAAAGGCCTCTTCTACAAAGGTGATATTTGAGCCAAGTCCTAAGGGAACGGGAGACTCATGAACTGTGTGGATATCTGAGGAAGAGTAGCTTGGGGAGAGGGATCATCAAGTGCAGAGACCTTGGAGTACTCAAGGAACAGCACGCAGGAGGACAGCATGGCTGGGGCAGAGCAAGTGAAGTGGAGAGTAAGAGGAGATGAGGCCTGAGGCCAGGCTCTAGGGCCCTGTTGGTTAAAGTAGGTGTTTGGATTTTATTGTGACAGGGGAAACCATTCAGAAATTTTGAACAGGGAGTCATCTTTTTAAAGGATCTCTGGCTGCTGTATAGAGATAAAACCGTTAGCGGAAAACAGGAAGCTAGTGCAGTAGCCTAGGGAAGATGTGGCCTGCATCAGAGTCCAGCTGAGAAGTGGATAGGTTCTAGATATTGTGGCTTGAATGTACCCATCTCTGCCCCCATACAGGCACAGTCTATGAGGGGACAGAAACTCAGCACATTTCTATGGTCAGGCCTGAGCAAATAGGCTTGCTTCTGTATTGCTAATGGGAATGTAACTGAGTACTACCCTTCTGGAAAGGGATTGGCAGCATCTAACAAAATTACCTCTTGATGCAGGAGTTCTAGGAATTTACCATAAAGATATACTTTAAACGATATGAAAAACATGCACAAGGTTATTTGTTACAGTATTGTTTATAATTGCAAAAATATTAAAACAACCTAAATGCTCATACATAGAAAAGCATTGAAAAAAAAAAAACACAATATGGTCAGCTGGTGGTATGGTGGTTAAGGCAGTGTATCCCGTATGGCTGACTCTGTGGTTTGAGTCTTGGGCTGGCAACTTGAAGAACACACCAGGCATGTGTGCCCAGAGAACTAGGAGGAGAATGGAGGAGAAGAGATTGCAGTGTGCCCAACTCCCTCTGGGGAGTGATTTCTCACTTTCTCTCTCTCTGACAAGCACACATGGTCTATGATAAAAATCTTTTTAAGAAAAGAAGAAGAAGAAGAAAAACCATGATAGAGCCCTCCAATGGAGTACTATGCAACTATGAACAAAAAATGAGGACAATTTCTTCCATAAATTGATATGGAGAGATTCCTAGGACATATTCTGTTGTTTTTTTTAAAAAAAAAAAAAAGAAAAGAAAAGAAAAAGAAAGTATCTATAGTGTGCTACCTATAGAAAGAAGAGAATATAAGAATATGTATGTCTTTACATTTCTGTAAAAAAGAAATAGAGGAAGGCTGAATCTAGAAATTAATATTTGACTATTCATCTCCATGGAATGGGTGGGAAAGGGGTGAAGAATAGGGCAATGGGCATGGGAGAGGAGTGGCATTTCTCTGTGCCTTTGTGGAGTTGAGACTTTTAGAACTACATTAGTGATTCCCATATTCAAAAGACAAACAAATAAAGACAGGATGTGGTTAAACCCAAAACAAAATGCAAATAGTAACACATGAACTATACTACAAATACCGCCACTGAAGAGGATGAGGAAGAAAATGACTAACTTAAGTAACTTTGGAAAACAGCATTTTGACGGTATATCATATTGGGTCGACAGAAAAGTCATGTCACGTTTTTCTATGCAAAAATGCATCATGGCTTTCCCAACAACCCAATAAAGACTAAAGGAATTATAAACAAATATTGTACAGTAGTAATTTTTTTCAGCAAGTGATAAAGATGAGCAATTCTGAAACCTGTATGCATACTCTAGGATTAAGCAAATAAATATATCTTAGATTTTTTAAACAAAATTATTGAATTGAATCGATTTTTTTTTTTTTTAATTTGACCAGAGAGAGACAGAAAGAGAGGGAAAGTGAGAAAGCTACCAGGTCGAGGACTCGAACTGTGGTTAGCCATGTAGGACTCCAGCAGCATAACCCCCATGCCATCTACCAGCCCTGATATTATTGTTTTTTTAAAAAAAAGAAGACTTAGCAAATGGTAGCTGCTCAAAAAACATTTCTTTAGCTAAACTAAAATTTTTTCCCAAATAAAATCTCAAGGTATTCATGAATTCTTTAAAATAATACGGTTAAGGGGCCGGCAGGTGGTACAGTGGTTGAGGGTACTAGACTTCCCCATGGCAGACCACAGTTCGTGTCCTGGACCTGGTGGTTTGCTTTCTCACTCTCTCGCTCACTCTCTCTCTCTCTCTTTCTCTTGCTCTGCCCCTTTCTGGTCAAATTTATTTATTTATTTTTTAAAATATCTCGTTATTGTTATTTAATTTTTATTTATTCATTCCTTTATTTTTTATTTAATTTGACCAGAGAGAAACACAGAGAGAAAGAGAAAGCGAGAAAATAAGCCATCAGGTCCAGGACTCAAACCATGGTTGGCCATGTGGGAGTGTCCAGTGTCTTAACCACCACACCACCTGCTGGTCCCCTCTGGTCAAATTTAAATATATAAATAAATAAAGTTAAATAAAAAATAATTCTTTAACAAAAAAAAAAAAATATGGTTAAAATTTTTGCAAATGTGCATTAAATGGAGATAGGGTCCATAATTTTTATCAGTCTCAGAAGAGTCTATGGCCCACCATATGCTGGCAATTTTACATCCTACCTATCTTCCAATCCCTTAGGAGGTAGGTATTGTTCTCATTATATAGATGAGGAAGAGAGAAAGTGAGTTAGGGCGATTCAGGAAGATCTAAAGGAGGAGGAAAGGCTGTAAGGAACAATCGTAACCAAATTATGATGGGAAGGAGAACCGCCCTTGTTGCATGAGGAAGAGAACAAGATACATGGGTGTGTGTGGTTGATGGAGCAGTCGTCTCAAGAATTCTCTCAGAGAGCCACTCTTGGCAATGAATGGAAGGTTTGGAGGCATGCTCAAATAACTTATCCAAGTCTGATGAGTATTACATTGGGTTGTCAGAAAATTTATGACAATTTTTTCTGTTTTTCTATGCAAAAATGTGTCATGGCTTTTCTGACAACCCAATACTTTTTAAAAATCATATTTATTTAACTTTATTTATTATTATTATTATTATTATTATTATTTTTGGAGAGGTTTTTGCAATAGGGCGCGTGTGCTCGCCAGGCAGAAAGAGAGACAGAAAGCGAGAAATCACCCCCCAGGGAGGATGACCATGCTGCAATCCCTTCTCCCCCATTCTCCTCTCGGGATCTTGGGCACGCACGCACATGCGCCCAGCATGAGTTTAAGCCACCAGGTCCGGGACTGGAACTGTGATTGACTACGTGGGAGTCCAGCGCCATAGCCATTACACTAACTGCTGGTCCCTATTTATTATTATTTTTAATTGCTATAGGGCACATGTGTTTACCAGAGAGAGACAGAGAGAAAAAGGGAAAGTGAGAAAGTAAGCTGCCAGGTCTGGGACTCCAACCATGATTGGCCATGTGAGAGCCAGTGCCTTAACCACCACACCACCTGCAGGCCTCAGGTATTATACTTTTATGTTAGTGTGCATTTAAAAGAAAAATGTTAAAGGTCATGGATGTGTCATATTGATTATACAAGGAGTTACCTGCAATATAATGAGACAATTGGTTTTCCCCTTTACTTTTAGGGTAACTGACCATTTATTAATCTTCCTGTTTCCAAAATTATCAGATTAGATCTCTACAGGTTCCACCTGTTTAGTAAGAACACATAGAGATCTTTTTTTTTTTTTTTTTTTTTTTGCTATTAGAGCATATGCGCTTGCCAGAGAGACAGAAAGCAAGAAGTCACCCCCTGGGGGGATGGCCACACCACAATCCCTTCTCCTCTTGGGATCCTGGGCATATGCGCACACATGCCTGGCATGAGTTTAAGCCACCGGGTCTGGGGTCAACTACAGGGCATCCAGCAACGTAGCCATTACGCTATCTGCTGGTCCCAAGGTCCTTCTAAAGCCTAGGTTCTCACCAGGAAATGGAAACCAGGTGGAAAGTGAGCTCAGTGTGTTTCAGACCTGCTACCTGATTCCCAGTAAACTCACATCTGATCTCTTGTCCTTGGCCCAGGGACCAAGGCTACTTCTCGATAATCTAACCTACCAGAAAGAAGTACCAGGACGCCCCTTTCCGAGAAAGTCCGTGCATTGGCTTTGCCTACTAGAACAGAATGCTCAAGTTTCTTTTCTTTTTTTTTTTTTTGAGTTTAAGCCACGTGATCTGGGACTCGAACTGTGGTTGACTACTTGGGAGTCCAGTGACATAGCCATTATGCCAACTGCTGGTCCTGAGCACATAAGTAGCCTTGTTTCTGCAATGACATTTTCTTACATTATGTTTTTGACACTGAATATGTGGCTATTTCTGTCAGATCATTTACTGTTTATATTCTTTGTTAAGTGTCATGGAATATCTGGGTGTTCCATGCCATTGGTAACTAATACAGGACTATTACACTGGTAGAAATGGAGTTTTAACATTGCCTGCCATTCTGTGAGGAATATTCTCGAGATTCCCTTAGAGGAACAGACAACTTAAGTCCAATTATAAGCCGTAATTGCATTCCCTCTGTTTGCTTCTTAATGTTGTTTCAATTGGATTTGGATTTTCAGTTCAGGCTTGTATGGTTTGCCTCCAAAGGTCTAGCTGATAGAATTCAGCTACCCCCTCACTGAGAAGACAACCCTGGAACAATAGATAAAATGTAGCATTATTCTATTTTGTTTTCCTAAAATGAATCTGCAATTTCTACAGCATGTTAAGTTTCTTGAAGGATTGTGCCACCACAGAGGGGTTTTGACAGAATGCCTGAGATTGAGCCCAGGGCAGTCCTAATGGGGTTACAGGTGCTGGTTCAGTCCAGACCAACTCTTGGGCCTGGCGCTAATGGCATGCTTCCCGGATTTATTCTCACCAGTTTTGGAGTTGCATGTCCGTGTCCAGACCAACCAGTGTGATCCTGGCCCCCTTTGCACTTGCCCTCTAATAGGCCACATGAGCTTGGCACTGAGGATCATGTACAAGATTAAAGCTTCAAGGCGTTGGTTTATATCCTCACCCTGGCTCTTAACACCTAGATAACTCAAGGCTGGCCGTCACTCAGAAACCCATCTGTATAGAAAATGGACTTACCCCTACCTTGAAGCTTGTTACCTGTTGAGAGGACTATGTGATGGACTTGCGTGAAAGTACCTGTTAGCAGTGATCACCATGCAGGCATTGTTTTTCACGATAACTCAACTCCAACCAACCCAAGAAGACAAAGCTTTAGTGCATGTTGTTATAGTGTGGCCTTCAGACATGTTTGCCTGTGGAATAAAGCTATAGTCAAGAACCAGTGCCCAGCGCAGTGCCTGGCAACACTGTCGACTAACCACCTGTGTTTTCACGTCTTCTCCTTTTCCCAAGTATTGAAAGCATTGCCCCCTATAGCAGTTGAACAGTGTGAGAAGAGCTAAGCAATGATCGTTATCTCAGACCTTGTAGAACTCTTCCCATGGTGCCCAATGCTATGCCTGCCATAACTCATTTCCCATTTTTGACCCTAGGTGATCCAAAAGCACCAAGGGGTTACTTCCCCACTTTACAGATGGGAATAGAGAGGTGACATGGGAAGGAGCCTGCCTTCAAGTCACCCTTGGAGTCAGGGTAGAGCCCGCTGTAGATACCTTCTCCTAAGCCTCTGACATAGTGCCTTCTTTCTTTTTTTTAAATTTACTAGAGAGTACTTGCACTTGCCAGAGAGGGAGAGAGAAAGTGAGAAAGCACCCCCTGGGGTGATGGTCATGCCACAATTCCTTCTCTTCCAGTTCTCCTCTCAGGAGTTTAGGCGCACACACACACACACATATTCAGTGTCTTTTCCAGCTGCTGGGTCCAACATGCTAAGCAGGCCATATGGGATCCAGCTGCCTTCACCACCACGGCACTAGCTGGCCCTCTGACTTATGCCCTCTTTAGGCTAATGCCTCATCTTTGCACATGTTTTTTCTCTTTTGACCTCTGGAAGAAAGACCGAGTGGTTAAACACATACTGGCTGGGGGAGGTAGGCTTTCAACTAAGCTTTGCTATATAGTTATGGATTTGCTTTTTCTTCTCCTTGATCACTTTTCCTTGTGTATTTCCAGGACTACAGCATGAAGGAATTTTCCGGGTGTCAGGATCCCAAGTGGAAGTGAATGACATCAAAAATGCCTTTGAGAGAGGTGAGGAAATGGCCTTGAAAATAAGACCAAGTCTTTGTCAGCCCTCTGGGGTAGCGACTCTACTTTCTCTCCCCTGAGAGCCCCCAGAGGTCAGAAAACCAGCTTGCCTCCCTGTTCTCTTGTACCCATTCCTTAAATATGCATGGAGATTCCAGGGCACGTCTTAGACCCTTCCCCCCTTCTTAGCCGCACCCATCCTCCCTCTGTCTGGCTGATGATCTGTCAAAACCCACGAACTTAACTACGATATCTGGGCAGTTTATGGCTGCATCTGGAACCCTTGGTGGCAGTTACTAGCAAGGCTAATGCGCCTGTTCACCCTAGCACATTTATTATCTTGTGGGCTATTAAGGTAATGGGCAAGCTTTGGCAATTTCCGTCACTGTAATGGATATATATAGTTTCAATTTGAGGTTGGTCCTATCATTAAATCTAATTACTTCTGATATGAAATTTTCCATGGGGAGCTCCGGCATGATTGTTCTCCTGTAAGTAGGTGTCCTTTGTTGTGGGCCAGGAGGAGTGAGAGCTCGTCTAAGGACCTAGCCTCCTTGGCCTCATTCTCCTCCCCAGAGGCACAGTCCAGCCTGGTTTCACGATTCTTGTGAGAGAGGCAGTTGCTGTGTCCCAGCCCCTAGGAAATGTCCCAGAGCCTGAGTAGTCTTTGCCTCATCTAGTCCCTAGTGGACCCTACTCATGGTCACCATGCTGGGCAGAGGGCTGATGGACCAGGCCAAGGATCAAAATAGATCACCCCTTCTTCCCTAGTACTGCTGTTTTGTCCTTCGTGTCTTTGTCTCTCTCATATTTTTCTTTCCTTTTGGGGGATTGTTTATCCTTAGGAGAGGACCCCCTGGCTGGGGACCAGAATGACCATGACATGGACTCCATAGCTGGCGTCCTGAAGCTTTACTTCCGGGGGCTGGAACACCCTCTCTTCCCCAAGGACATCTTCCATGACCTGATGGCCTGCGTCAGTAAGTACCATCCTGGCCTTAGACTGGCTTCAGGGCCAGGGCACCTGGCAACAGGAGAGAAAAGGTCCACAAGATCTCTGTCTACTCATAAGTTTTTCAGCCAAGTTTTCCTTTACCCCCATGAAGTTTCTCCTCCTTGTCTTTCATCCCCAAGTGGGAGGCAGGAAGAATGACTTTCAGTAAGAATCTAGGATCTCAAGTCTGGACTCCTGGCTTTTATTTTTCTGATTCAC